ATTTTACATTTTTAACTTTATTATGCTATGACATATTGAAATGTGTATGGATCAGTACAATTTTTTCATGAAGAGTAGTATTTATATACATCTTTCATTTGATATACTGTTTTTTTAAATCGGACCATTTCCCTATATACGAGGGGGGTTCAAATCTAAAAAATGCATGTAGAAAATAGAACTTTTTCAACTTAAATTTTAAAAGTGTTCCGGAAAGTCTGACACTTTTATATATATCTTAAATTAAAGCTAATGTAATTTACTTTATTATGCGAAAAAAAATTTGGGACTTTATTTTATCTTTACGGTGAAATTAGCTACCGAATGCTATTATTGTGTGAAAATTCTCGATTTTATTTTTTACATTTTTAACTTTATAATGCTATGACATATTGAAAAGTGTATGGATCAACATAATTTTTTTATGAGAAATATTATTTTTTAATAATCTCTTTTTCATTTGATATACTTTATCTTAATCAGGTTATTAATAAGGAACTAGCAGATCATGTGGCTTTTGGAATAATTCACCAATATTTTAAAATTAAACACTATTTAAAGATTTGCATCGAAGCATTTTTTTTTTTTAAAGTGATTTTAATCACTGTCAGATATCATTATACTTGATCCATTTATACCACGTCACCACTGTGCCGCAACCCCCCTGTGCTGGGTTTTTTTTTTTACATATAATCAAATTATATCTGAAAAAATAAGGTGAGGGTTTATTTATACAAATCACCACACAAATCTATAAATCCTCTCATTACAGAAAGAGTACATTAAAATTTTATAAATTAATAAAGCATTGTATTTAATCCATAATATCTTATTTTGAACTGTTCATAACTAGGCACGTATTAAAGAGCACATGAATCTGGTAACTTCAATTCTTTAAAAATTATATTTGAATATTTTACATTTAAAAAAGTGATTGAAATAAAAAACAACCTCACACAGTGGGGACGTAGTATAGTTAGATCAAGTATAATGATATCTGACAGTGATTAAAATCACTATAAAAAAAAAAACGCTTCGATGCAAATCTTTAGATAGTGTTTAATTTTAAAAAATTAGTGGATTATTCCAAAAGTTACATGATCTGCTAGTTCTTCATTAATATCCAGATTAAGAAAATGTAAATCGAATGAAAGATTTATATAAAAAATACTTCTCATAAAAAAATTGTATTGATCCATACATATTTTAATAAGTTATAGCATTATAAAGTTAAAAATTTTAAAAATAAAATCGAGAATTTTCACACAAAAATAGCATTCGGTAGCCAATTTCACCGTGAAGACAAGTCCAGAGGTCAAATTTTTTTTTTCAAATTAAAGTATATTACATTAGCTTTAATTTAAGATATATATAAAAGTGTCAGACTTTCCGGAACATTTTCTAAAGTCAAGTTGAAAATATTAATATTTTGTGAAAAAGTGGTCATTTTAAATACCCCCCTGTGGGCAGGTAAAGGGTCAGATATCAAAAAAAAATATACCAAATGAAAGGTAATGATATCATGCATCTATATAAAAAATTATATTGTTTTGGTTTGATTTCAAAATGTTATAACAATTTTAAGTAAAAAAAATTGAAAAAATTTCGAAATTTAGCGATTTAAAATTTGTAATTTTTTTGGAGGTTTCCCCCATTTACGGGGAACGAGGGAAATTTTTTCAATTTTTAAGGGTAATTTCTTTGACTAGATACGATTTGTGATCTTTTGATGTATCTTTGAAAGAAATCCGTTCGGTGAGAGCTGAGAAAAAGTGGTAAAAGACACACAAAAAAAAAAAACACATCATAGTAAATTTAATACCTTCTCAGCTTTGCATCGAAGCTAAAATATACTTTTATTTATCAATTTTTCATACTAATTTCAAATCGGCAATTATATGTTTTTCATCATCAATAATAATTTTTAATATTATTACTAATTAATTAAAAACTACAAAGAAAATAGTACTGATTATTTCAATTGTATCATCTATTTCAACACCAAGAATTATTAATATTTCTTTTGAAATGATTTATTACAACAAAAAAATTATTAATAACTAAAAAATTGTTTTTAAATTATTACACATTTTGATTTTTAATATTTTAAAAATAATCATTGCAAAATATCATTTTTAACCTATTTTTTTGATGTTTTAAAGTTGATTTTTTAAAAGTTTATAATAAAAAAAATTTGAATTTGTTATCATAACTTTTAGCTCAACTTCAAGTTCGAAATTTACATTATTAAATAGAAATTTTTATTAAAATATAAAAATAGTATTATTTAGATTAATATGCAGTCAAGAAATTGTATAATTACTATGTACTGTAAATTATCAGAAATGCTTAATATTTTTTTTTTTCATTTTTATTGTAGTAGATCACTTAAATAGCAATCATAGTAATCATATCTGAGTAATTTTGGTGTTTAAAAATATTCTACAATTGAAATATTCAGAACATTTTAATTGTCTATGTGGAGAATGTAAGCTAAGTAAATTTTTCATTGATAAAATGGAAATTTTTTCAATTTTTGTGGGTAATATCTTTAATTAGATAACAGTTGTGATCATTATATGAATTGTTAAAAAAAGTTAGTTAAATGATATACGAAAAAATAAATGAAATGCATAGTATGCAAATGCATGAAGTGCAAGTAAAAAATCTTTAACATAAATAAGAAATTTCTTCAAACGAGGGCAGACTACAGTGATGGAGTCCTTCATATTTATTAAAGTTATTGAATCTAAATGGAATAAAAATCAAATGATTTAAAAATTGTTTACAAAAATCATATTTTTTTTATTAACGTTAGTGTCCGTTTTCACCATATAATCAAAATAAAGTACAAATTTTTTTTTTTTTTATATTAAAGTGTATTACATAAGCTTTAATTTAAGATATATATAAAAGTGTCAGTATTTCCGGAATACTTTCAAAAATTAAGTTGAAAATTCTCTACTTTCTATATGCATTTTTTAGTTTTGAACACTATATAAAGGGAAATGGTCCGATTTTAAAAAAACGTATGTCGATTGAAAGAGGTATATAAATAATATTTCTCATGAAAAAATTGTATTGATCCATTCATTTTTAAAAAACGTTATGGCAGTTTTAAGTCAAAAAAAAAATTGAAAAAATGTCAAAATTAGCGTTTTTAAATTTATAATTTTTTTATTGCTGATAACATTTTTTACAAAATCTTTTTCTATAAACACAACAGTAATATAAATACGGAACCTATCTTCAATGAATTAAAGTATAATAGATAACAACATTGATTAAAATTATTTATAATCAAATTTTATAACCGTTACTATAACATTCGGGATAATGCTTCAATTCCAGGGGGCTAAACACCCCCTTCGCGATGACAACTTGTGCTATATAAATTATTTTTTTAAAACATTTTTTATCTATATTGTTTTAAATTCACATTATGCTTTATTAAAAATTATGTTAAGACGCTCTTCTTATAAGTTTCTTATGCATACATAGTATTTTTTTCACTAAACTGCATAAACGTTCTTACCAAGAAATATTGTTTTACGTTATCAAAAAATAAGTATTATAATCAAGATTGTCTCTTTTGTCGATATTTCATATCTATATTACATAACACTATATCAATAAAAATAATAATATTACATTTAGCCCACTCTTTTACTTCATTTTAATATAGAATTTCTTACTTATAAAAAAAAACGAAATCAAGCCACACCATGTACGTAATATATATACCACATCAAAAAACATAATACATTATTACTTTCGAACAGGTCATCAAGTCTCCATTGCCAGTTACAATTTCATAACGAGTACACACATTATGGAAAAATCCATATTTGTGGGATGATGTTTCCAATCCAGTTCCCATAATAATACCGCCTATGAAGAAATTTGTTAATAAAAATGTTTTTTTACGTGGCAATTTATTACTACCTATAGTTAAATCTCTTAGATCAGCAACTATTGGCAATTTCCATCCAAAACGGATTAATTCTGGAACTAAACGACCAAAAGTAATGCCAGGTTCTACTTGAACTGTCTAAATACGTCATCAAATTAAAATATTATTTAAAAACAATATTAATTTTATTAGTAATAAATTTGTTACTAACAATTCATTTTGTTAAAATTATATCACATATAATAATATAATACTGTAATGGTTACAAAAAAACTGTCAAAACAAAGCTCAATATTTATAATAATTTATTTAAAAATTCATATTTTTCATTAGTTGACTTTAACTTTAAGTTGCTGTAACTTTTTTACTAATTACTGCTCAATTTTTTTTTTACATATTTTTCATCAGCATGAAAACTTTAATTAAATAAAAAAAAATTTGAAAAAGGGTGTCCTGTAAAGTAATTTTATATCGTATTTCTTTTGCCCCATCCATATTTTATAATTCGGAACAACCTGTACAACTTGTTTATAAAAATAAGTTAAGAATTTCCCATTCTAAAAGTGACTAAACCATATTATGTCTAGGACCGGTGCTATAAATCGGGGGGCCTTGTGCGAAACAATTTTGCAGGTTTCTTAATGTTTTTTTTTTTTTTAAGGAATCTTTGTTTAAGTTATCGACTAAGTTTACAGAGCTCTTTAAAGCGCAGTCATTCTAAATGACCAAAGATCAATTATAATAATATATAAAAATAAAAAATCATGCAAAGCTTACTTCATTTTTTACATCAATTGAGAGTACGTTGTTCAAATGGACGTCAATATTGTACATATATTTTTTGTAAAGCATATTGTCCAAGGATAAACACTTCCAGCTGGGTCTGGAAGTACACATCATAAGGTTAGGTGCCTTTTCATTTCTTCGTTTGATCTAAATAATATTCATTGTTTTTAAAAATTATCAATTATATTTTGATTCGTGTTCATCCTACAAACGTGTTGCTGAATTTTTTTAACGTTATCGTTGTGATGTCCTCTATCGTAACGAGCTCCGCCAAATGTTTCCCATATTGACCATGCCTTACCCAAAATTGTGCATGGCAATACAAATAAACATACAAACACCCATCGATAATTAAATAAAAAGTTTTCCAAAAAAATTTCAATATCCATAATAACACCTTTTAAACCAACTATTTAAAAAAAAAATCTTTTAAAATATCTGTAAAGTTTTCTGATCGTAATTTTTAAACGAATATTTTAACTTTAAAACTTTCCTTAAATCTACAAATCACTAACAGACTACCTAACAGTTATCATTCTCAGACAACAATTCAAGTATTACACTAAAACTCTTATTGAATCAGATTGAAAATATCGAACAATAACTATCGAAGTACTCGATAGTTATTCAATGACTATTCACATACTTAAGAAAATTTTCGATTATTCTATTTGAAGACTTTGATAAAATATTCAACAAGTAGAAAAAAAAATTATTTAAATAGTACACATTTCATAATAAAAGGTTTCAATAATAATTTGATCATTCCACAGTAATTAACTTATTCCAAAGTGTTAATCACTAATTCTGATACAGATTAAGTTCCTATCAGTAGAGTAGATATTGAATAGTTTGAGTTATAACTTATAACAGCTATTTGAATGTCATTGAATACTATCAATAAAGTCAAGTAGATATAATACATTATATACATTAAGTTCCATGGTATAAATATTCAGACAGATTTAACACTATCTTTTTGGTTTTTTTCTAACATTTTAAAGATGTTTGGTATTATTAACTCAATATTTTAAACTATATTTTCAACTGTATCGTAAGTACATTTAAATTTAAAACTATATATAATTAATTTTTGTTTTTATCATATAAATTTGAATACTTGTATTATAAATCATTCAATAAAAAATTCAGTTAACAATAGTGCAACTAGTGAGAAAGTTGGCAAAGTGATACTTGGGAACTCCTGAGGCATTTTTCTAATTTTTAGCATTGTATTGCTTTTATTATGTTTTTATCTCTGTTGCCTTGTGTATACAGTTTTTACTGGACCACTACTGCTCAATTATACGCCAAAGAACCTAAAAGTATCGACTCTATACTAATTTTTTAAAGGAGGTCGAAGTGTCATATAAATAACTCTTTTTAAAAACTAAAAACTGTAAATCAAAACAGACTGACCATTATAATTCACTGGAGGCTATCGTAAATGGTGTCACATCAACACCGTCACGAAAATTGCGAAATAATATTTATTTGCACAATCCAAATTATTTTTTATTATTATTACTTATTATTAAAAAATAAGTATTTACATATTAAAAAATAATTAAGAACAAAAAAAAATTGTTTAAAATTAAAACTGATTTTGATTATTAATATGTTAAACATAAAGAAAATGACATATTTAACATAGTTCAAATTTCAAAGTTATTCTTCTCAATTCAAGAGAAGCAAACAAATTTAAATAAGTTTAACTTCATAGTTTATGTCAATTAGATTTATGTAATATTTATGAAATTCAGTGTACTCACCTTGTAAAGTATTTTAAAATAAATTAAAATACAAAAATAGTAAAAAAATTGTCGCGGTCGCATCGCATTTCCAGTGTTACCGACGGATGGCGATCGCGGCGCTCCCTCTTCGCGTCCGACAGAGTGCGCTTTGCACGGTGACCAACGGGCGGTATGAACCGGTTGCTCGGGCGCTGGACAAGAAAAAATGACACAGACTGATATTTCAATTATCGTTTTTTGATCTGACACGTCGACCTTTACTAAGGAACGGAAGATATCTTTTATTAATTTACTTAACTGTGTAATTAAGATTATTGTTTCGTTGTGTAATAAAAACGCTATTGCTTTATTAATTATTATTATTATATTTACTACTCTGTTTTCATCAAAATGTCTTCTCAGCTAAAATTGATTGGCGTTAACCAATCTAACGGTTGAAAAATATTTATACATACATAAATATATTAAACAGCAATAATAATTATTATATTAAGAAAAAAATATTAATATTATCATGTTTTGAAAATATCTACTTGGATAACTAGAGTTCTGAAAACACTAGTTATTGACAGAGTTAAAAATACGATTTCAGTATTTCAATTTAACTTTTAGTATATATATATAATAATTCCGTCAGTTGAGTAAACAGTTAAGTTCAACATATTGTATGCTAAATACGTATACTTATACATATTAATAATAACTATATTTTTCTAATGATTAATTAATCAATTACATTAAAAAAAAATTCTTATAAATAATATTCAACATTTTTTTTAGTATTGAATTTCTTTTTAAGTTATACTTATAAAGGATTCAACTTAATATAAATAAGTGGCAAAATGAAAAACTTTTTACTTTTTATTTTTATATTGTACTTAATAACAAGCTTAAGTTATCAAAAAAGAAATTTACAGTGCTCGTATGTTTGTTATTTTCTAAATTTTTTTAACCATAATGAAAAATTTTTATTAGAATTCGAAAAAAAAAAAGATTATATTACAATCGAAAATATTATGACCTATGGCAAGGCACTACAAACACACGNATTCTATAATAAAAACGCTATTTCTTTATTAATTATTATTATATTTACTACTCTGTTTTCATCAAAATGTCTTCTCAGCTAAAATTAATTGGCGTTAACCAATCTAACGGTTGAAAAATATTTATACATACATAAATATATTAAACAGCAATAATAATTATTATATTAAGAAAAAAATATTAATATTATCATGTTTTGAAAATATCTACTTGGATAACTAGAGTTCTGAAAACACTAGTTATTGACAGAGTTAAAAATACGATTTCAGTATTTCAATTTAACTTTTAGTATATATATATAATAATTCCGTCAGTTGAGTAAACAGTTAAGTTAAACATATTGTATGCTAAATACGTATACTTATACATATTAATAATAACTATATTTTTCTAATGATTAATTAATCAATTACATTAAAAAAAAAATCTTATAAATAATATTCAACATTTTTTTTAGTATTGAATTTCTTTTTAAGTTATACTTATAAAGGATTCAACTTAATATAAATAAGTGGCAAAATGAAAAACTTTTTACTTTTTATTTTTATATTGTACTTAATAACAAGCTTAAGTTATCAACAAATAAATTTACAGTGCTCCTATGTTTGTTATTTTCTAAATTTTTTTAACCATAATGAAAGATTTTTATTAGAATTCGAAAAAAAAAAAGATTATATTACAATCGAAAATATTATGACCTATGGCAAGGCACTACAAACACACGGTAAAGTAATTATGATATTTTTGGATGACTTGATAAACAAACATAGAACTATGTGTCCTTTAATTTTGATCACGATAAATATGTACTTCAATAATGTTTCTGAAACTTTAAATATGATTGCTCAAAACGATAACGGGGGAAAAAATGATGCTGAAAAATTATTAAAAGGCTATAAAATTATACATTTTACAGTTAAAGAAAAACTAGAAATGCAACTTAATAAATATTGTTGTAATATACCAATTGATGATTATATGGTTAGTTGCAAACCTCCTATCAGTGAAAATGAATATGCTATTACTAATCTAATCAACATAAATAATGATCTTAAGGATAGCGTACTGACGAAGTTTAATTTATCAGAAGACAGGAATTCATACGAAATTTTCCATCCGAAAAATATTCTGTTTTACGATTTAATGACTCCACAGATTATTTACAACAAAAATAATACTATAAAAATAGATAATAGTCAACATATAGAATTAAATTTACTTCGATTTACACCACTTAAATTGCCATTCTCTAACCGTACTAGTTTAACTATACAAGATGTATTTGAGTATATGAAATATAATTTTTATTCTTTAGACGTTATAAAATATATCAAAATGGTAATTATAGCTTCGTTTCGACCAATAGCTATTCTTATTCGCAACTTCTTAACCTTAATTAATGTTGCATCTTCAGAAAATTCAAATAGTGTGACATCTTGGATAAAAAATAATTTAATTGGCATGGGTCACATAATAATAAAATATATAAAAAAATTCGATACTCTCGGTCTGTTCAATCATAATAAGTCATTTCTGAAATACAAGATCTTAAATGGATTTATTAAAGCCTTAAACAATTACACTAATAATAAAAAGTTATCCGAAATTGATATTGAATATAATAATAAATTAATTGAAGTACTTTCGAATTTCTTTATCAAAAACAAATTATACTTTACAACTAATATAGTTCTAACCAATGAAAATATTAATGAAAATAATGTTGATAAAATTAAAAATCAATTAGAAAAAATAATCCAAAAAGTTGGTATCTATATGAACGATTTGCAAAAATGGAGTAACCATATTAATTTAATTAAAGACAAATGTAATTCAATGTGGTTTTATAATAATATTAAAATTAATAATTTTATTACTTCTAAAGTTTTAGGTAAGTGTAAAAACAGTTCTCTTTTTATTCTTTATATTATTCATATGCAATATCTGCAATATCTGCAATATATTAAACAAAAAATTGTTGAGTCCCTCCTATATCAACGCTATGCTCATAATATAGGACACAAGAAAACATTTAAAAATAAGATAATTGAAACAAAGTAGTTTGGCATCTGAAAATATAAATTTCTCTCTTCAAATTGTGTGAAATAATTTTCACACCTAATTTTTTCTAAAGATTCATCATATTTTTAATAGTTTAGAAATATTTCATTTCAAAATTTCTACCATCATGTTCATTTAAGCAATTATCTATATTTTGTGTACTTTTTTAATCCTTATTTTATTTATTTCAGATAGTATTTGTAGGTCTGAAACACATTCTGTAATATACAATGCTAGTACGAATGATAATAATAAAATTGAAATAGGATTTTATGAAGATGTGCAAGACGTGGAAGATGATTATAATTATTATTGGAAGATTATTACAGAAATTAACTCAAAAGAGTTAAAAGATGATCATAATAAAAGTGAGAATGATATAAATGACTCTCTTAAAGATCAATCGAATAATAAACTTCTCTGTATGTTTCATTATTTGCCGTACAACGAGTAAAATGAAACTATTAAAATTTGTTTTATAATGTAAATTGTATATTGTCATTACTTATTTGCAAAGATTTTATTTTTTCCTTTTTATTATGCAACATTATTCTTTTAACGCTAGCCACTCAATATCTAATTTTTTAATTCATCCATTATTCCTTATTAAGAAGTCAACTTTATTTTTAAATAACAAAATAAATATTTCATTATCTTTTAAATTAAAATATAATTTAATTGAGAAAAAATACTAGGCGATAACAACTTTTGAGCTACTATTGTTAATTATTACCATTTTTAAATATAGACTTATGGTGAGGCATATACACATATCAATATACAGAAATGCAAATTAATAATATTATACCATTTTTGAATCACTTAATGTATTTTAATTAATTAATTTACAATGGCTTCCATTTTTATATTGCCTAAAGACAAGATGTTTATAGTAAATATTGTGTCTAAATATAGTGCCACAAATAATTTAAAAATGCATTTATTTATTTTAAAAATCTAACCACAGTCTTATGTAAATGATTTCTATACAAATTATATAATATACATATTGAGATTTTTTACGTGTGATTATTATGACTTATATAAAATCTATAAAAATATAAGACATTATTTACAACATATTTTTAAAAGATTAAAAATAATAACAATTAACTAAATTTTCAATAAAAATATAAGTTATTTATAAAAATAACTGGACATAATTAACTAGTTTATTTAATAAATAAACATCTAATTAAGAAATTGAATACCCAAACTGTTACTATTTATAGTTATTCTTGTCATCTAAAACAGACCTGCGGCCCTACGAGCCTAAGAGCCTCTTTGGGTCATCCTCATAAGTAGGCCACTGATTCCAATAGGAGTACCCGACTACGCCGGCTACAATAAGTGTTTCCCAGGAAAAATATTACATCAGAATCAGTGTAAAAAAAATATTATAAAAATTTAATTATAAAAGTAAGAAAAATTCAAAAAGAGTATAGTAAAAGGTATTGGGTATAAGGTTGACGCTTTTTTAGTGAGGCATATCTCTTGGGCGTATTAAGAAATTATTTTAGGAGGGTATTTAATTTTTATTACTTTGTTGAACATTCTATAGAATTTTTTAGCTAAACATCAAAATGATAATCAAAAAAAAATTATAACTAATACATTCAGTCCATATATGACAATAATAACATATATTTGTAATGAATTGAATAGAAAATTAAATTGTCATAAAAATGTATATTTTACAAATTAAGTGTCACAATAAACAAATGCGCAAAAATGAGTTAATGCCCATATTAAAACTATGAGCGTAGTAAAAAAGCTCGTAAAACTGAGAAAAATGAACAGATTGAATTAATGATTTTACGATATCTCAGAAATGTCATTGAGCGGGTCTCGTGAAAATTTCAAACATTAAAAAGGCTTACACACTAGACGTTTATTCGCACGCGTACGTGTTTTCAAAAACGCGGAGATTTTAAACGGACATGTGCTCACTGCAAGCGTTTTGATGCGTCTTTATAAAAAAATTAGCACGCCAAAAGCTACAGTATAATCACAACAGTTTCGAAATTCCTACTGCTAGCAACATTTGCTCTGATTATTTTTATTATTTTTTAAAGTATTCAATGAGTTACAATGAAGACATTAGATGATATAGAAGTTGCATGTGTTGTGT